GTTTGAATAATCAAAGAGTTTGAGAAATTGGGGGTTAAATTACAGTATTTGAATGAGGAGAGGGAACAACTTTTGATTCAAGTTATCGGGAGGTTTGAAAAATTGAGGGTTTGAGAAATCGAGACATAACTGTAATATTATTTTTACATCTAAAATATATCTATGGACAACTACAACTACAACAACCACAACAACAACAACGGCAACACTGTGACTGTGTTAGAAAACACAAGGGTCAAAGAAATTCCAATGAACAGCGTCAACCTTTTCTCGGAAGAGACCATTACACTGATATTTCTTCATGAAATACCAGTGTATTTAATGATTTATCAGTTATGTAGAAAATATAATGATTAAGTTGTTTTTTTTTCCTTTTGTTTTTCAAAGGTGCAAGAAAGTTCAGTTTCTCATCACCACTGGAGATGGAAAATTTTATTCAAATGGGCTTGATCAAACATTTCTCAAGACATGTAGTACAGAGGAATTCATGGAAACATTTAATTTGCTTAATAAGACTCTCATCAGATTCATGACATTTCCTGTGTTGACTGTGGCTGCTATAAATGGTATTGTACAGCTTTTTGATCTGAAGTTTTGTGTCAAGCTCAGTATGACTACAAGGGTTCCTATAAATGCTGTTCTGAGAGAAAAGCAATTGAAAAATTTACTGGGAAACTGAAAATAACATATTTTGACATATTTGGAAAATATATTTGGGATGTTTCGCTTGAATTTGTAAAAATTGAAAGAAGGTTGTTTCAAATTTGAAATTTTATAATAATTAACTGTATGGCTCTAATCAAGTTCATAAACCCAAATAGGACCTGGGAGCTTAAAGGTTCTTAATATTTATGTCCTTACTAAACAGTTAGTCCTTGATTGTTACAACAGATTGAATCCATCACCTTTGTAACTGAAGTGTTCACCAATCAAGAAAGTCCACATATATTTGACAAGTTGTGACTGATAGATTTCGCTCCACTGAACTGACTGTCTTTAATGCAATGCCATTAACTTATTTGTTTTTATTATTTCATCATGACTTTTTCCATGATAAAATTAATATATAATTAATAATAATAATAATAATAATGTTAATAATAATAATCATCATCATCTTTATACAGGAGGCTCCACTCACTAATGTGGTTTTCAGGGAGGTCCAGAAAAAAAAAAAATTAATTTATATTCTCTACAAACTGCCAAAATTAAAAACTGATGGAGCAAGAAGTGTGCACTTTCATTTAACCTTTCGAGCGATAAAGGTTACTCAGTTTTTCAATAAATTGAAAATGGAAATAACAGGAAATCAAAAATCAACATGGCCTGAGTTTATACCTACTTCATTCATTAACACTGGGTAAAATATCTTCAGTTTGCTCCATTAGTTAAAATGCTAAATAATAAAAAAGATTGTGTTGGTGGGGTTTACATGTTAAACAAATNTCATGACTTTTTTCATGATAAAATTAATATATAATTAATTTATATTCTCTACAAACTGCCAAAATTAAAAGCTGATGTGTGTGCACTTTCATTTAACCTTCCGAGCGATAAAGGTTAGTCAGTTTTTCAATTAATTGAAAATGGAAATAACAGGAAATCAAAAATCCAAATGACCTGAGTTTATACCTACTTCATTCATTAACACTGGGTAAAATATCTTCAGTTTGCTCCATTAGTTAAAATGCTAAACAATAAAAAAGATTGTCTTGGTGGGGTTTACATGTTAAACAAATTGATTATCTGGTGTTCCACAGGACATGCCTTTGCTCTTGGAGCAATTTTAGCCCTTGCACATGACTACCGAGTCATGAGAACTAAAAAAGGTTGGTTCTGCCTACCTGAGGTCAAATATGATATGCTCTTTGGAAAAGCAACTATTTTATTGTTAAGGTAAGACTTAGTGATCAGTACTCTGAAATTTATTATTACCATTTTTGGAAATAATTACCGTTGTTATTTATCCCCCTTACCTTGAGTTGAGTTGAGTAATGAGTTGATCACTTTATTTATTCACAGTAAAAATTCCTTCCGATAAGCACTCCCCTCTGACCCTATATCTGACCCTGTATTTGACACATCCCCCTACCTTGAAGGTGTTTTAACTGAATGGTGCTGAATGTAAGTTATGTTTTCAATCAAGAACTATTTTCAGTGATGCTAACTTTCAGGTCTCGTAACATTTTGTTCTACTGCTCATTTTGTTGTTGTAAAAAACATGTTTTAGAGCAAAGATTAAAGAACCCAAGGTACTCACAGATGCTGTGCTCATGGGATGGCGTTTTGTGGCAGAAGAAGCTCTCTCTGGTGGGATTGTCCAAAAGATTTGCGACATAGAGGATTTACTGAATACAGCTGTACATATGGGTCAAGCAGTCATTGGACAAAATATCTTCAAAAGAGATACTATTAAGCATTTAAAATCACAGCTGTACAGTGACATCATCAATGCCTTTCAAAGTGATACTGTTAGCAGACAAGGGGTTCTTCAGAGCATTGCTCAGTTTGATAGAAAGTCAAAACTCTGACTATTAAGTTTTTGAGCTAGGTAATGGTAAAGTTGCAAAGGTGATACCTTGATAGGTTTAAGTAGCAAAATATATTATTTTTTGATTTTTATGTAACATATCTAATCCAAATAAAGTACAACCAAGTTGACTTAATTGGCTCACACAAAATAGTGACAAAAAAGGAAAAACAATAACAGTAAAATAATGGGAAGACCAAATCAGGCCATACCAACAATTTCTTTTGTTGTCTTTAAAATGGGGAAAAAAAAAAGATTTCCATGCAAGGGCGACATCACAACTCAACGAGAAATCTGTCACTGAATAGTCACCTGGAGGGGGCACTGCCATATATGGGCTATATAGGTACTATGTGCCACTGTGAAGGGTATGGTTTTCAAGCAGTGTACTGTAGGATAGGGTATATAAATCAGAGCGTTTGGGTCTAGAATAGGGTATAATTTTTCACAAAACTGACTAGTTGGTTGAACATTTTATCTAGACCAAGGAAACCAGGAATTGCCACTCAAAAATATAAAAAAATCAAATCAGCAAGTTTAAATTTATGCAAATTAGCCTTAACAGTGTTGATAGATGGGGGGATTTGGGGAATTTACTCTAGTATAGGGTAGCAAAATTCAGCTCAACTAGCTCTGGTACAGGCTAAGGGTTCCAGGGTCCCAGCACACATGCCCACCCAGAAATTCCCAAAGTACTCCCCCTGGGAATAGTCAACAATGAATGAATCAGGATTCATCTATTTTACGCATTTTCAATTACACTAGCTAGACTACAGTCATTATGATTGTCTGCCAAGTATACTATCCTATACTACATAACCTCATTTGTTGCCAAAGTAACATAATTTATGATAAGATGACTGTGGTTTGAAAATGATGATATTTAATTGTGTGACGTTGTATGGTGGTAAGATAATAAAAGTGATATTTGTTAAAAAAAATTATGTGGAAATCTGGAAATGTTTACCCTGACAGAAACCAAGCACTCTGACTGACCCGTGAAATTAAGTAGTGAGCTTCACAAGAACTACCTGGATCGTTCAGCAATTTAAAATGGATCGCACACATCAGGCTCCACGAGTTATCATCTACCCCAGGCGGGTTCATCCTAACACAGTAAATTGTGGCGGCGAATGTTGTACAAAATGTCTTCTGATCTTTTTCACCATTACATGTTTACTCGTTGGTTTTATTGTGACTATGGTTGGCCATCTTGCAAAGCCTTTTTGGGGTCCCGAAGATGACTGGTGCAACTTCTGTCGAGAGGAAAGGCTTGCGACTGAGCGAAACCTGAAGAACTGTCGAATTGTTGGGCCGATATTTCTGGCCATCGGTGCTTTGTTACTGTGCGTTTCGATTTTCTATTGTCACTTTAAAAGGAAAAGTAATCAAGGTCAAGTTATAGCGGGAGCTTCCAACATCCAAAGTGGTCAAACCAGTCAAGCAGGAACCGCTTCTACTCACTATCCACCAAATACCTTCGGATATCAACAGCCTTACGGGCAAACGCCCGCATATCCACCGGGACCTTACCCGGGAAACCCGCCACCATCCGCTGCGGGATCATTCTCCCCATATCCAACAGGGCAAGCATATCCACCAACACAACACCCGTACCCCCCACCCGGTGGACATGGGTATCAGCCATACCCAACAGAGATGCCTCCTCCGCCATCGTATGAAAGTGCTGTTGATCAAAGCACATCTTCTCCAAGTGCTCCCCCTATGGAAAAAGTGGGTTAGACCTAAGAAAATGTTAGGTAAGTTTTAAATTGATTGATCTTTTTACGTTCTTATCTGTAAACATCCTGTGTAACGGCAACCTGGTTCCCAGTGTCTCGCTTCTTCAGTCCCCTTGACCAAGAGAGGGGCTTTAGGGGGTGAGGAGAAGTAGAAGAGAGACCCTTTGAGTGAGGTTGGCACTAACGTATTTTTGTGTCAGGAGAGCCATAATTTTGCTCGTATGTGGTCTTAACGGGTCATGTGACTGGCTATTGCCCAGCTAAAACTTGGAAGTGATATTGATATTAGTGACATTGATATATCTGGGTGATATTGCCCAATTTAATTTTCATGTTTTGATAAATATAAATATTTAATAAATATTTAAATAATGAACACAATAGCCTCTTGGATGTTTGTCCTTGGACATTGTCTGTTCGAAGCTCACAGTTTTCCTTGAGCTTTGCTTTAGGAAACTGTTGGCTCCTCGAAACAGATAATGTCCATGGACAAATATCCAAGCATATTTTTGTACCAAATGGAGGCTACTGTTTATATGTTGCCCTGCAACTTGTGATGTCCTTGTTACTGCTGGAACTCTCAAATGAGTGATATCAGAAAATATCCATACCCTACTAACACAAGTGAATAGTACTTTTCATCCATTGTGATTGGTCAACTCACCTCTGAGTAGCCAAAGAGAAACGATATGGCTTCCCATAGTTTGGTCTGCTAGTTAATCAGCTTGAGTGGGACACTGTATACGCTAATTATTCACCTTAAGTTAGTGTTGGTGAAAGTGGCTCAGTAAATATCCACCACTACTCACTTTGGTGAATAATAATAATTATAACAATTATTTGCCGAAGGCGAGGTGAATATTGGAGAATTTTCACCATGACGAAGTCATTTACGATTCATAAATGCCTTGAATGGGAGTTCTTGAAAAGATTTTTGGTCCAAGGGTGACAGCAGTCATTTTGAAAATTCTCCATCCTTTCTAATATCTTGAACTTGGAGTGATGTCTTTCCAATAAATGAAAATTTCATTCAACTGTCCACCATGTTTATTGCCGAAATGGCAAAGATGGGACCTTAGTAACCAAGCTCTAGCAGGGTGAATATAATGTTGAGATTGTGATGAGCTTTTTGACCAATCAGAATGTCCAGTTCTTATATTCACCTCTAGGAATTATACTAATAATTGCTATCTATTACTATTGTCATGAATTTCTCATAAATTGTTCTTATTAATTTTTTTTTGTTTGGCTTTTTTATAGGGTAGAAACCAACTCCCAAAGGGTTTTAAAACTTGTGAACTGTTTCATGTACAGTGATTGGAATAATGATACCATGTACAGTTCGTGAAAGAAGAATGGTTGTGAAAGTATTTTATGATTTTATTTATCATTGTGTATTTTATTCTATGTTACTGTAATGCAACTACAAGTATTATATTGGAATTAAGTACATATCAAGCTAGTGTAGTTCAAGAAAATATTGTGTAGTATCAACCTTCCACGTGACTATTGCATGGAAAAAATTTGCCAAGCATTATGATAGCCTGCAGTGCAGACATTTTCGTTGGTATTTAAGCTCCTGATTGAGTAGGTTTGCAGCCTTGTTGATTTAGCAAAGGGAAGGGGAATAATTTATTGGAACCATTAAGGAAAGCAGCCATATTTCTCCCCAGATCACTCCAAGCCTGAGGTCAACTCACTCTAATTGGGAGACTGTTCACAAGCTATAAGAACAGTTCTCATAAGGCAGGGTTAATGTGACGTACTTTTGTTACCCAAAATGGTTGACCGTAAACCCTCTTGTTACCTATTTTCCCCAAGCTTTTTTTCATAATGAAATTAATTGCAAGAAAATTGGCAAAATCAGAGACCTACGAAAAGAGTTTTAATGAAAATTAATAAAATGTCATGTTATGTCACAAATGAACACACCAGACTGAGTTTTTTTTCAGTGTAGTTCTGTTCAACATCATTAAATGTGACTTAAAATCTGTAGCATCAATTCCTTGACTATCATTTTTTGATTGCAATCAGTAGTTGGAACTTTTTTATGAAATATTATTTAGTCTCATTAAATTTGGGTCTTGGGTCCATAATTTTAGGTGAATTTAAGTTCCTGCAAAACTAAGTACTGTACCAGGCCAGATAGTTTAGACAGGAATACAAAAGTTACAGTAGAACCTTGCTATCTCGAACTCTCTGCTATTCCAAACTCAAAATAATTTTCCCTTAAATATACTTTTTCAGTCACTTACCATCAGCCATCTTGAACCTAGCCTCCCACACAGACACTCTCGGGGCTTGTCACGCGTTCCCTGTGGGGAAGGAACGCGTGATGAACCCTCTACATAGCATCTGCGTAGGAGGCTATCTTAAACTCCAAGATATCAAACTATTTTCTATCTCCCTTAAGAGTTAGAGATGGTGGGGTTCAATGTATTATTATTCATTATTATTATATGGATTTTGTTGATCAGTCTACAAAGCAAGATGTCTGTGTATTCAGTTCATTATCAGCTGTGCATTTGCTCAAGCGTGAACTACAATCGCCATTATGATGATCTAGCTTTATAGGCCAGCAATGCATGTAGACAGCTAAATAATAATTAAAAAAAATATTTAATGGGTATAACTAGTAACGAGTTTCAGCGGAGTAAACCTCATTACGTAAACAGGTGCAACACATTAATCTCAAAATCAGTGAAGCGTACAGCTGATTAGGTGAAACTGAAGACATGATTGCAAAATAATACTGTGCATCTAATTGTGTAACAAGCATGATGTGATATGTTATTGTTATTAGGGAGCTTAATATTAAGCAACGACGATGGCGACGCCTAAGACGATGCCTAGTAAGAAATGGATGTTGTATTTTACCTACAAATGTCGCAATTGTGTAGATCTGTTCAGTAGACGAATGAATGAAAAAAAAAGAGCTGCTCAGGCTTAGTGTTAAGAAAGGTGCGAAAAATTAGCCGTCGCGTTACAGCTAATCCAAAATACTCAGAACTTGACCATTTCACGTTGTTCTTTCGCAGATGACGGCTAAGACATTAATATACCAAGAATCAAAACGTTTACGAATAACGATTGTATTTAACTTGGTATTAGGCTAATACAGTGGCAAACAGACTTGAGAAACGGAGTCTGACAGATGTAGCGGCTATATGGTTACAGGATGGTACACCTTGTATTGAATATCATGATGGTTGGCATATAAGTTACTATATTTTGTATTTTATATTGTATGCATTACCATTTACATGTAACATGGAGGTATTTAAGAGCCACACAAAACAAGCGGGAGGATAAGCGTAATTGCATGTAAACCAAGCCAAATAGAAAGCTTGTCTGAAAGAGGGCTGTAAGTAAAAGCTAGTAAAAGGCTGATTATCTATCATGTAATATCAGTGTTGTTCTGAGTTGGGTTGGAATAAAGTAATTTAACCTATTGCTAGATTATGGACTATCCACTCTCCAAAAACGGAGCGGCCAGAATCAGAAATTGAGCTTCTTGTGATACTGATTTCGATGCAAGTTCAGCTTTGAAGTAGCCCGCGAACGCAGACGAATTTCCGGCTGTCGCTTGTCTCCGTCGAAAATAACGTCTGCAAACCCGAGCCAGGAAACGATTTGTGTCGTAATGACTTTTGTTTTCTTTTTGGCCGATCAGATTTCATGATAAAATGAAACTCGAGTGCTCCTCGCAGCGAATACCTCGCGCAGTAGTTCTGGGGCTATAGTTATTTTGGTCAAGCACAAAATTACCTTTAAATTGAAGGAAACCTGAAAATAGTGGTTCACTAAGATAGAAAAACACCAAAGAGATAATAATAAACCATAAAGAAACAAGGCTGATTAAGGATGGAGAAGATTGACACGGATTACAAACAACAAAGTTGAAAAATTTAGGCTAAACTTAAAGATGTACAAACCATAACGTAGCCGCTTCTTTTATAAATGGCAGGGCCTAGATCAAAAGGTGGTCTCTAGAGCTGAGCTGCATGTCTGAGCTTTCAATTCAGTGCAGTTTGTTTGCTTGTGAAAGTTTCTTGTATTGTTGCTAGTTGTCAAAAGCTGCTTCGTATGAAGGGGTTACCATTTCTTAATCATAAGATTCTGACGGAATCCTTATTTGGAAGTGATGGATTGGTCGCAATGCAACGGATTGATAGAGCTGTTGCCCAGAACAACTCGAAGGAAGCCCTTCCTGTGTGGAAGATCCTCGTGCCGAATTCCTAGCTTCTTCCCCACAGTTTGTGTTTTCAGTGAGCTGACTTTGGCACGAATTCCATTATACATGTATTGTAATGAAAAGGAGCAAGGTCAAGTAATAATGCACCGGCAGTTATCAAGTTGAAACTTAACAGTTTTGCGTGGCTTGTGTCTCTATGGTATACATATTGAGGATAATCTAATTCAAGTTCCTTTAGAGGCTACTGATCGAAGATAATGAAACTGAAGAACTAAAACTTCCGGTTTGCCATTACCTGCGCGCGCCTTTCAATAACACGCAAACTCTGCTCAATTAACGGGTTTACGTTTTGCTGCCGTCGATCATCTTATTGGACCACCTCTTTGCTTTAACATCTGTGATTGGCACAGTTGAAAGGGTAGACTGTTCACAGCCATCTGTTTTGTCGTATTGTTATTCGATGGATAGAATCGCGAGAGAACTGGACGCAAGCCCAAAATGTAAGACTTGCCTGGGTAGGGGGTGGGGACCCCACCCCCGATCCCCGCGTGCTTCGCGCTCGCTTCGCTCGCTTTTTCTTTCGCGTGCGTAAATAGAGAGGCTATGAACAGTCTAC